ACTTCTGTGAACATTGGTGCTGGCGTTATTGTGACCATAAAAACCCAGAACTGACTAACTGAAATGTTTCCTAGTTCTAGCATGAATGTGCACATCCAGTGCTGTGACCCGTTCAGGAGAGTATGGAGGAGACGTTCAATAACCACAACACCAGGAAGTCTCATAATGACTGTGCTAGATGGAAAAGACCACGCTCCTTTTTCTTTTCTTTTTCTTCTTTTTTGTGTTTTAATTTATTTGCTGTCGATTAGCTTTTTTTGTTTTGTTTTGTATTGTTTTGTTTGTCATTTTGACACAAGCTAGAGTTATCTAGGAAGAGGAACCCCAGCTGAGAAACTGCCTTCATCATATTACCTGTAGACAATTCTTTATGGTGTTTCCATTATAATGGTGGGTGTGGGAGGGTCAGCCTCACTTGGGGTAGTGCCTCCATGGGGCAAGTTGGACTGTGTCAGCATGCAGAGCAAGCCAAGGGTAGTTAGAAAGCCAGGAAGAGTAGTTCCTCCCTGCCTTCTGCTTCAATTTCTGCCCTCAGCTTCCTGCCTTGGCTTCCCCTAATGGTGGACTGTGACCCATAAGCCAAATAAACAGAATCCTCTCCAGGTTGCTTTTGGTCACGATGCTTATCACAGCAATAGAGACCTAACTGGGACAGAAATTGGTACCAGGTGCATGGGCTGTTGTTGACAGACAAGATCATGGTCTTTAGAGGACTGTGGAATGAGTTTGGACCTTTGACCTGTAAAACTCATTGGGTGCTCAAAGCTGAATGAGCTGTTGTAAGCACTTGAAAATAGGACTTCTGAAAGAGATGCAGACAATGGGGGTCTGGCTTGTGACATTTCAAAGGGAAGCAAAGAATATCAGGGCTATAGGATCAGCTATGATGAATAAAAGGCCAGCACCAATAAAGCAAAACAATCTTTGCTTTAATGGGATAGTTGGTACTGGTTAGCTGAGGCAGACAAATCAGCTGTAGTTAAGAAGAGGAGAGCATGATCAAGCAAAGTTTTCCAAGTTATTGCTATAGTGTCAGCACACACAAGCTGTGGTCTGGGGTGGTCAAGGCTAATCCTCATGCTGGCAAGTAAACTAAGTAATGTATCATAGTTGCCCAGTGGTACTGCTTTTGAAGGTATGAATGAGTCATGAAGAATAACTGAAGTTTGGTGCTGTATGGCAGGGCTGGGGTCCCTGAAGAGGAGCCAGAAGAGGCCATTGGTGACGGTGCAGCCTCAGTTGCACTGGAAACCCCAGCATGTTGCACATTCTGTGAGACAAGGACAGTAGCAGCTGTGTAGTGGAGCCTTCCTGAGACTATGAGAGCTGTGTGCTCTGTGGATAGCAGATCCAGAGAAGTGGAGCCCAATAGCTCTTTGGAGCCTCAAAGACTGTGCATTTCAGATATTGAACACGGGGCAGCTTACACTGTTGGAATTCTGATTTTACTTTAATTTAATAGTAACTGTGCCCTGGTTCTTCCCTTTTACAATAGAAAGTATGTGACTTACTTTAATTTTACAGAAATCCACTATTAAGAGCTTTGTTAAGGTCACTGAATTTTAAAGTGTTTGAACTTTTAAAGAATGTGAGTTTTTAAGTTATATTTTATATTGTAATCTTTATATGAACATGACGTCTTAGGGACAAATAAGAAGGGAATGGTTTTAGATGAATAGTGATGTGTCTGTCTGTCAGTTTAACAAGGGGTCAATTGTGCTTGCTAATTTCTTTTAGGGGGATCAACTTGACAAGATCTGGTGTTAGATGGGAAGAGGAACCTCAGTGGACAAATGTCTTTATCAGATTGCTGCCTGTAGGCAAATCCATAGGGCATTTTCTTAATTAATGATTGATATGGAAGGTCCCAGTTCACAGGGGGTAATACTGCCTCTGGGCAGATGGTCCTGGATTTTATATGCAGATCAGATAAACAAGCAAGTCAGTTAAGCCACACTCCTCCAGCAGTTCAGTTCCTGCCCTGAACTTCCTAGTGATGGACTGTAACCTGTAAGCGAGCAAACACAAACAAGCAAATACCCTTTGCTCCTCAAGTTGCTTTTAGTCATGATATTTATCACAGCAATAGAAACCTCACTAGAACATTTGCCTTACTTTTAGTTTTTGCTTTTATGTGATTGGTTTTTTGCCTTCATTTTTTCAATTATTATTTAACAGCATAATAAATTTACATATGTCCTTAAATGCATTTCTCTCTACCCTTTCTCCCTCTTATTTCTCTTCTATCACTATTAACCCTATCTTCCCTTTCAGTCCATGTCCCAGATTCATGATATTTGTGAGGTATTTTTTTTTTTTGTGACTCTTTTATTTTAATTGAAAATTTATGTATCATGGCCCCGGTTATCTTGACCCTCTTGAAAGGCCAAATTACGGAGATAAAGGTCAATATCTAAGGGCTGGCAGAATAGATTGTCAATATGATGGTTGATTATGCATGGGGAGATTACAAAATGGTTGTGGCTATGGTTTCAGTAGTATCTGTCTTTCTTGTTTGTCTGACCATCTCTATTCATTTATCAGTCTAGCAGTCTATCTATTCATCGTCTGTGTATCTTTTTATCTGTTAAACATCTGTAAATCTGTAGATACATATAGCATGTGGTGAAGCTTTGGCTCAAGCTATATATATATATATATTCATATATATATACACACAATATATATATGTGTATATATATACACACACATATATATACATATATATATAATATATATACACACAAAATATATATATATATATATGTGTGTGTATACACACACACACACACACAATATTATTTGGAACAATTAAAGTGGACATAATGTATAGAGCCATATTTGGCCCTTAATAGTAAGTCCATATATGGAAAATATTTCTTCACATATAAGTCTACGTAGAATGAATGAAAAATCATACAGTTGTTTAAGTGTAGAAATTGATAAGGTGATTTTCAAATTCACATGGATTATGAGTAATATAATTTAATACAATATATAATTTTCAAAATTACCTTGCCAGGGAAGGAATTTGAAGGAGGAGTTACCATACCTAATTTCTAGGCTTAGTAAAGAGCTATAATAATTATTAATCCGAGTGACACTGGTATAAGATGGACATCTACGCCCACACACACTCCTCTTAAGAACCAGCAATACAACTCCTAGGTGTTTACCCACATGAAATGAGAGCATATGCCACTAAAACACTTGTACATAAATGTTTGTAAACTTTTTATTTGTAACAGCCACAAATTAGGGGAAAAACAGATGTCCCTTTGTGGGTGAATGGACAATTATGCTAGATTCATGCAATGAAATACAAATAAACAATATCCATGCAGAGTATATAAATGGATCCCAGTAACAAAACTAATGAAGCCATAAGGCAAAAAATACCTAGAGCCTTCTGTGTAGCTTCCTATCCGTGAGACAGCGACCTGAGCTTGTGTGAGGAGACGGAGGAGGAGAGAGTGGCAGGCAGAGGACAGGGCAGACCTCAGGGGCTGGTGGCTTGATTGTGATTTTGTTTGTGTGGGTATTGATGTTAATTAAAACAGATGTATGTGCTTATGTACATTTCATGTAGTATCTGCTATTCTTCAAGGTTTTGGATTGTTTTTAGAGTAATTGTCCATTGTTTTTAAGACTGCGGAAAGTGGTATTTCTGTTTTTTCTTTGTTCTCTAATGATATGATGATATTATTGAAGATGTTTTTTAAAAAGTGAACTACTTTTTCTCTTTTAATTAGCACAGTAGAAGTGGTGACATCATTTCAGCTGCTGTGTTTATTTTAGGAACGTCTAAGAGACATGCAGAAGTGGTTTTAAGCCTTGTCATCAACATAGACTTCTAAAAGCCCAGAATGTTCTGAATATATTTATTTTTAATTTATACAAAAAAGCTCACATGAATGAAGCCTCTAATTTTATGAATAAGAAAAAGAGGGATTCATAATGCACTGCGCTTTCCCTCAGAACATATTAGGTTCTGGACATTTATTACAGTAGAAAGCCTGGGCTGCCCTGGACTCTGTTTGACAGAGACTAGCCTGCAACCTACAACTCTTCAATTTTGCTTGCTCTGGTTAGAGAGGGATGGGACTCCAAGCAAGGGCCTCTGCTGTTCACTCACATATACTGAAATGGGTGTGAGATCCAACACCAGTTCCAGTACCTGAGAGAGCCTTCTTCCCTGCCTTGTGGTTGTCCCCTCTAGATTACAGAGCTTGACCCTGGAAAGGTAACAGCAATCAGTAATCCCATGAGAGGGCCATGTGCCTGCAGAACTCTTCACTTCCCAAAGTTCAGGTTGTATCAGTAGCTTCTGTGTTTTAGTGAGAATCCTTCTTGAAGGGGCAGATACCTTTTTGGTAGTGCTCATATGATCTTGGACTTACAGTATGAGGGAAAGGAAGGAGCATAGTGAGGAGAGCCAAAAGAGAGGTGCTTTGTCTAGCCTGGATCTGTCTTGAGTCAGAGGATCTAGGTCCCACTTCTGTGCCCTCAGTGTGTTTAGTTTCTTTGAGTCATATGTATTCGTGAATATGTCAAAATAGACTGACTTGGGTGTTAGTAGTTTGTTTGTTTGTTTGGTTGTTTTTTTGCCGAATTGTCAAGTTCCATGTAACAGAATTTTAATAATAAGCTGATTTCTGTTTTAGCTGAGAAAACGCATTCTTGTCCTCATACCTCCTAGTATGCCTGGTGTGGTACTTAATCATGTTACTATAGAAACTTCCTTGATTTGTTTTCTGCTTCTTTGTTAATTAGAGAACCACGTGGTCATTCCTTATTGGCCTTCTGAGGTACAGCTTTTCTCCTACCAAAGGACTCTTTGAATACTGAGTCTGGCATTCATTTATTTTAAATTGAATGTTCTGGATATGTGTGCTTTTTCTAATTAGGTTATATTTATGCCCTGACATGTATTTTATTTCTTATTTAGGACAAAATATTTAGGAAGGTTTTGACATCTAAACTATTGAATTGCATTTCAGTTCCCTGAATGCGGTTTCTATGGACTGTACGATAAGATACTGCTTTTCCGTCATGATCCTACCTCTGAAAACATCCTTCAGCTGGTGAAAATGGCAAGTGACATCCAGGAGGGTGATCTTATTGAAGTGGTCCTGTCAGGTACGATCCTGGTTTCCTCATCTGTGGTTGATTGTTTGTTTTTGAAGAATTCTTGGGCATGGGTTACTAAGTACTGTAATGCATATATAATATACTGGTTTTCAACATGAGGTATTTTTAGCTCTGTCTCCATGACTTTCAAACTTATTTTGGAAAACTTCTAGCCTGGAGGTTTACATCTGAAATCTCAGCACTGTCATGCTGAAACAGAAGCATCATGAGTTCAAGGCCAACTTGAGGTAGAGTGAGTTCCAGATCAGATTTGCCTGCATAAAGGAGACTATTTCAAGCAAGAATGAAAATTAGAAGAGAATCTGGCCTTTTTTACACCTAGTAAGGACTCTGTTATATATTTCTATTGTGTGCTTTCTCCCATCTTCTAAGATACACTTATGCCCATATTCATACCCATTCCATTCTTATACTCAAACTCACATTAATAGATTCATTCCATTTAGCGACTTGAAAGATTTCAGGAGCACAAGTAGTTATCTCAACAGTGATATTGAGGTGCCCATCAGGACCCCAAATACCTAGAGACCAATAAAGAATAGTAGAAAGAGCTCTTAATTTACTATGGAATGCCGAGACAAAAAGCAGTGGAGATGGATTAGGTCCCACTCTTCCCATGACATTGATTAACTCATTCGCTGAGAATGCTGTGTTTATGTCTGCACACACTTGTATTTGTCTTAAAATTTAAAAGTTATTGATATTAGTACACATCAATACAGAAAAAAATGGTGAAGTTAACATTAAGAATGTAGCATACAGGAAGAGCTGCAGCACAGGTTCCTCCAGTGCTAGGCAGCTGGAGCAGAGATCATAACTATGTCCAGGTTTTTATGGTTCATGGAGTCACTATTGAGAAACTGGGATTCCATGGCTCCTCTCTGTTCTCTGACTTTTGTTGCCTACTGACTCTTTGACTATAGGAAATCCATTAGCTTGATCTTTTAGACTTTTTTTCTTGGAGTTCTTTACCTTGTAGATAGGTGTCCTTCATTTCCTGTATCTATTGATTTATTTTGCTGTGCTTTGCTTCCAATCACTTTTTGTCTCTTGGTTGTATTAAGTCCTTATTTGCATCCCTTGCACTGGGCATCTTATCATAAAATAAATTTTCATTTAACAAAAAAACATATTTTTTATTGTTTCTGTAAAGAACTCTTGCTAAATAAAAGTAATAAGCAAAAGCTTTGATGATTTTATATCAAATTTTCAAGTAGTCATATGCTTTTCCATGTTGCCCTTCTCTGTGGTTTTCTGGCATTTGCTTCTTGGACCCTATCATTTAAAAGTAGTTTTCTAAGTGTTCTTATTTTGGATACTATAGGGTGGCTGAAACAAATTAGTCAGAGACATTGTTTGCTTCAGTGTATTCTTGCCACATTTCATATTAAACCTGACATATTAGAGCCTGACAGCTCTCTATATAAGGTATTCTGTGTGAGTGTATTTTTCAGATGGTAACACCCAGACATACTCGAGGACTCCCCCCTCCCAGGTTTTATTCTTTTTAGTATTCTTTTTTTAAACAACAAAACATAACAAAATAAAACATACCAAGATAAAACAAAACCTGTCACATTAAAGTTGGACATGGCAAATCAACAGGTAGAAAGGAACCACAAAAGCAGGCACAAGAATGGGAGACTCACTCATTCACATGTTCAGGAGTCCCATATAAGTACTAACCTAGGAGCTATAATATGTAGCCAGTCTTTTGCTACTTTGTGGGTTCTTTTTCCCCACTCTTTATCCTCCTGGTTTCACCCACTATTTCTAGATAGAAGAGAAAGAAGGATAGAGAGGAGAGAGATTTCTGAATCAAATTTCTTCTTGTTTCTTCTTTAAACACAACTACTAAGGATTCACAACAACCTCCCGACCCCTCCTGAAAGGCCAGCAACCACAAACCCTGACTCTCAGGGCCTTAGCATTTATATACCCTATGTAAATTTCCCAGAATGCCAAGTGTCACACAATCAGAGAAACTATCTGCCGCTGGCAGAACCATGTCTCTGCTCAAGTGTGGGACAATTCATAGTCAAGTGCTGAGGACAACCAAGCACCCCAAATCCCCATACCCGGGATGAAAGCAAAAATATATTCTTAGATTATTTCTGTGTGTGGGGGTGGGGGTGGGGGTGGGTGTGTTTAAACAACTCAAAATTCCAGAATCTTACTGCAGTGATATCTATACAGAGGACCTGATGTATAACCGCAAAGGCCTCTGCTTGCTGCTCCAGTCTATGAGTTCAGTTGGTTTACAGGAGCTTGCTCTCTTGGTATCCTACATCACCTCTTGTTTCCACACTCGTTCAACCTCCTCTTCCACAGGCTTCCCTGAGATCTGAGGGGAGGGATTTGATGGAGACTTGTCATTTTAGAGCTTTGTGTTCTACGGTTTCTCTTTGTGCAATGTCTGGGTGTGGAGCCCTGCATTTGTTCTTTAGAACCTTTCCCCCATGTTCCAGTGTCTTTGTTACAGGAAAGTACTCTGCAGACTACTGAAAGACAAACCAATCTAGCCATAAAACTTATCATCTATGATCTGTCCTAGCTGCAAAACCTCGTAGGGCACTGATGGCACACAACTTGTGGGAGTAACTAACCACTGTCTTATTTGACTTAAGGCCCACTCCACAGATGGAACCTATTCGTTCCCAGAACTGCTTGGGTGACCAAAAACCAGAGACCAGATAGCCCAGAGACCTAGGGTAAAAATCAAATACCGCTGAGCTAAAAACTAAAAAATAACAGTAAAATAAGCCATAATGAATTTCTGCTATGCTCATGGATCAGTGCTCCATGTAGCCATCACCAGGGAGGCTTCTTCCTACAGCTGATACATGAGGACTTTTAACAATTAAGTTTCTAAAATTAATTTCCTTTCTCTCCATTTTTTGTATATATGTATTATATTATATTCATACATATATGTATATATTGCTATATTCATGTTTAACCTCCTAGGGCACTACAGTCCATGGGCATAAAGTTGCTTGGCTTCTCTGTCCTTGCTTGGTCCAGATATGAGTGCTGTGCTGTATTTGAGCCTATTGTCTTATGGAAGTATTCCAGATCAGCTTCACCATCATCCCACCTACCTTTTGACTGTTTAGTTGCATAGCATCAGTGAACGATGGGATTTTCCTGTTAAATGTTTTACTGTTAAATTTTGTTTATCTAAAACGTCTGTTTTCTTTTTCTCCCCACAATTAAACTTAATCTTTTACTTTGGCATAAGTACAATGTTATTTTGTTGTTGTTGTTTTTAGTGTTTCACTATCAGAAACATTTTCTAGTATAAAATCTCAGTAATAATAAAAAAATCTGGGGAAAATATAATTTTGAGGAAGACTATTTTTTCTCATTTTTTATTTTTTTATTCAGTTTACATCCTTGTTGTAGCCCTATCCCTCCTTCCCTCCCAGATGCACATTTCATCTTGCCCCTTCCCCTCCTCAGAAAAGGAAGCACCCTTTGGCATCTAGCACAGCTCATCAAATTGCAACAGGACTGAGCATGTCCTCTTCTGCTGTGGCCTGGCAAAGCAATCCTGCCATGGGAAAGTGATCAAAAAGCTGGCAAGTGAGTCCCTTACTAGAGGACCCACATGAAGCCTAAGCTGTCCATCTGCTACAACTGTGTAGGGGCCCTGGTCCAGTTCATGCATGGTCCTTGGTTGATGCTTCAGTCTCAGCAAGCCCCTGTGGTCTCTTGTTAGTTGGCTCTGTTGTTCTTCTTGTGGAGCTACTGTCACCTCTAGGTCGTTTTCTCTGTCCTTCCACTTTTCCACAAGACTTCCAAAGCATCACCAAGTGTTTGACTGTGAATGTAGGCATCTGTTTTGAGGCACTGGTGGATAGCACCTCTCAGAGGACAACTCTGGCAGGATCCTGTCTGCAAGCTTAGCAGAGTATCATTCATAGTGTCAGGGGTTGGCAGTCTCTGATAGGGAGGGTCTTTGGTTGGTCCAGGCATTGGTTGGGTATTCCTTCAATCTCTGCTCTAGCTGCTCTATCTTTATCCCTGCACATCTTGTAGACAGGGTAAATTTTGGGTTGAAGTTTTTTGTGGGTGGGATGGTCTTCTCATCCCTCTGCTAGGAGAATAGTCTAGTTAGAGGGTGTCCTCTCCATGCTCTATGGCCTCTGCTACCCCCAGCAGTCTCTATTTGAGTTCCCCTCATATCCTTCCAGGAGCCTACCCTGACTTAGGTCTCCAGCTTATCAAAGAGATGACCCCACCTCCATTTTCTCATTTCTCTACAGTCCTCTGTCCTCTCACCCTTGTTCTCCTCAGGTCTGATCCCCACCCTTTTATCTCTCTAAGAGCCCTCTTCTAACTCGTTCCCTCTTTTCAGCCACTAAGTCTGTCTATTTTAATCTGGCACTTCCTCAGAAAATTGAGACTAGTTTTACCACAAGATCCAGCTATGCCACTCCTGGGCATATACCCAAAAGATGTTCCACCATTCAACAAGGACACTTGTTCAGCTATGTTCATAGCAGCTTTATTCACAACAGCCAGAATCTAGAAACAACCTAGATGTCCCTCAACCAAAGAATGGATAACGGAACTGTGGCATATTTATACATTGGAATACTACTCAGGTATTAAAACCTAGCTATTAAAAACTCAGCTATTAAAACCTAGCTGTAATAAATGCTAGCTATAATAGCTTCCCTTTTCAAACTCTAGGCAGTCATTCCTAAGAAGGTAAATCTGATACCTCTGAGGAATGACAGGTTAAGCAAGATTTAAATAATTCTTTATAAGAATCTTATGGATTCAAGAAAACTTTGGTACAACTGTGAAGCCATGGTTTCCAAATTCCCATACCAAATTTAACTTTATTATGGGATGGCATTAGCCTCCCTTGAGCGCCTGCCAGTCCTCACCTCTGCTGTCGTATATTCCTCTGGGTTATATCCATGGAATGATTGTTCTGAAAATAGGCATCTAGTCTTTATGTTAAGGTGTTAAGGGCA